TTTTAACAGTTACTTTAATAGTTACTTGGGAAACGTAAAATAAAATTAAAATTATATAGTAATCGTATATTAATTTAATAAATTTATCAATGTATTTATGGAGCATGTGATTAAATTCTTTTACTTTTACAAGACTATTATTATATTTTTATTATGTTAAGTACAGTTTTGAAATTTGTTAATGGATAGACTAATTAATGTGATAGATATTAATTATAAAATTCAATTCTTACATTTTAGTAAAGTTTAAAATGTAAAATTTTTGTATTTACAATAATAATTTACAATCATTTCAAGAAAGTAACTTAAAAGTAACGACTTGTTATTTTTTGAGTAACTATAACAAATTACTTTTCATAGTCAATAACTTGTAACTGGAACTAGTTACATTTTCAGCAAGGGGAACTGAAACTGTAACTAGTTATTTTTAAAAAGTAACTTTCCCAACCCTGGAGAAATATACAAAGACACTTTGCTCAAAGTAATGTCATGAGAAATGTAGTGTGAAAATCTGAATGTGACTTTTGGTAAATTTGGTGATGCATTAATAACAACAACGAAACATTTACATTAATGGATGCTGTGAATTTCATGATTAGTTCAGTGCAATATATTTGCTTCGTAAATATAAGTAAAATAATTGTCAAGTTTCCATTAACGATAGTCTCACGCTATGATAATCATAAAAGTCTATCTGCGGAACCCAGATAATTAAGTACATGTAAAGAGGGTGGCCAAATAGATATGAGCGCTGTGCCTATATTCCTGGTAATCCAATATGGGGTCGATATATATACCAAATTAAAGATCTCGATGAGCTGAAGACGACGAACTATGTCTCATTTTGGTAGGATGCATGGGGACTCGAGAACTTCTCCTTTTCCATCACTCGAAATCGCCGCAAAAATTGATTTCATTATCTGTCCAGACAACTTGACTCAATCTGATACTTCAATAAATAAATAACTTTGATTTGTTTTTGTGTCTAATTACTCCATTTTACGTTTTGAAGTACGAAGAATCGAATAGAAATATTTTCCGAGCTCAAAGTCCACCGGAAGTACCAAAGTTCCAATTGGAGCACCTGGACTTCCGGTTATTTTTGCGCATAAAAATGTCACTATGTTCCCACATGATAGTGGATCTCATAAGCTTTCCAACGAGTCTTATTTCACATCATAACTCACTATTTTCATATTTTTACCGCATCAAAAACTTTTAAAAACTAATTCCTTCCGGGTCCGATTTCTCGGGCCCCATGCACCCTATCAAAATGAGACATAGTTCGTCGTCTTCAGCTCATCGAGATCTTTAATTTGGTATATATATCGACCCCATATTGGATTACCAGGAATATAGGCACAGCGCTCATATCTATTTGGCCACCCTCTTTACATGTACTTAATTATCTGGGTTCCGCAGATAGACTTTTATGATTATCATAGCGTGAGACTATCGTTAATGGAAACTTGACAATTATTTTACTTATATTTACGAAGCAAATATATTGCACTGAACTAATCATGAAATTCACAGCATCCATTAATGTAAATGTTTCGTTGTTGTTATTAATGCATCACCAAATTTACCAAAAGTCACATTCAGATTTTCACACTACATTTCTCATGACATTACTTTGAGCAAAGTGTCTTTGTATATTTCTCCAGGGTTGGGAAAGTTACTTTTTAAAAATAACTAGTTACAGTTTCAGTTCCCCTTGCTGAAAATGTAACTAGTTCCAGTTACAAGTTATTGACTATGAAAAGTAATTTGTTATAGTTACTCAAAAAATAACAAGTCGTTACTTTTAAGTTACTTTCTTGAAATGATTGTAAATTATTATTGTAAATACAAAAATTTTACATTTTAAACTTTACTAAAATGTAAGAATTGAATTTTATAATTAATATCTATCACATTAATTAGTCTATCCATTAACAAATTTCAAAACTGTACTTAACATAATAAAAATATAATAATAGTCTTGTAAAAGTAAAAGAATTTAATCACATGCTCCATAAATACATTGATAAATTTATTAAATTAATATACGATTACTATATAATTTTAATTTTATTTTACGTTTCCCAAGTAACTATTAAAGTAACTGTTAAAAAAGTTGCAAGTTACAAGTATAAAATACAAGCTAAAAATAAGTAACTAAGTTAAGTTACAGTTAGAGGTGGGGAAAAAAGTAACGAAGTTACAGTTACCAAAAAAATGTAACTGTAATTACGCTACAAGTAACGAGTTACTTTTCAACCCTATTTATCTTATATTTTTATCTCTTATATTTTTACATTTTTTCTTATTTTTTCTTATATCTTTATATTTTCTCTTATATTTTTAATTTGCCATTCTATGTGACAAACATGAGTGCCACTTGAACCCCTCGTAAGGAATGCAGCCTATGCAGCTGAATTGTTAAATTGACTAATTCGCGTGCACCTGTCTATCTGGGTCTATTAAAACGTCCCTCACAAGGTTGCGAGTGTGCGCGTTACGCGTCGCGGATTAATTTCCGTGCGGGCGTCAATGATTCATGCACACACGTGGAGGACTTACCCAGGGTGTTAGTGAATTCTTCCAGAGCGCCGGCTGCTCCAGAGCGTGCGTTAAAAGGGGAAGAAAAAAGAGCGCACAAGTGGTGAGAGAGAGTGCATTGACCAAGAAGATGTTGGTGCTCTCCCGGGAACGCGAGAGCGGCCGCATCTCTCGCGCGAGAACGCGGCCGGCGAATTCGAGATCGATCAATGTCTCGCTACTCTACTGTACACCCGATACATAAAGCGGTCGCCGACTCGCCCCCGGGCATTATCCCCGGGGCCTCTCATCCGCGTCGTTTGCATGCGGCCAGCGTATCCTTTCGCAAGGATAGCCACAGGTGCCTTTAAAACGTCGTCGCGGACCTTGCGAAAGGTGAATACGATTTAAAAGACTCTCGAGACGAAGAGACCGTGACGCGCGACGGGTATCACGCTCGACGATAGGGACGATGCGGACATGATGCGGGGAAAGGAGCGAGGGAGGAGGAGGAGGAGGAGGAGGAGATCGGGTCGTAAATCAAGCGAGAGAACTCCTCTCCTCAGTCGCATCGGTAATATCGTCTCTCGCGACGGGCAAAACCTACTCGTCTGTCGTTTGCGCGACGCGAACTGCCGCAAGAAGAGGAAGAGACACCTTCTCTCCGCTCGCTTACACGTTAAATACTCCTCGGGCGACGTCGCGAGTAACAGGTTGGAGCGCAACAAAGAGGTGTACGCGAGCCGGCCGGCGAGAAGGCACCAAGAGAAGAGGTTTTCTTCCCCGCGAGTGCCGCGGATAATGAATTCAAGGGACTCACCGGGGCAGCCTATGTTGCAGTCCATCTTTTGCTGCGCCGGGCCCAGGCACATCTGACCGCCATTCATGGGTGCCGGATTCGTGCACGTCCTCGTCCTCTTCTGGCCGGCTTTCGAGCATCGCGGATGGCATTCCGACCAGGAGGACCACGAGGACCAGCCGCCGTTTACTGGAGGGCATAAACGGGAAAGAGATCTTTGAGACGAGAAGCTCGCACGAGTAATTTGAACTAATCGACTGATATTCTAACGTTGAACTCTGCGCGATGATACACGCGAGAGGTGACTTGATACTATCAGTTGAATCTCAGTGACTGATACGAATTTAGTTAACAGGCTGGCTGGCTTCGCGAAGAATCGACTATTATAGGTGAAATGCATTCACATTACCAGACAGAATTTTCCTAATAAACACCAGCTAATAGTATATACATGCTAATAGTACATTATAGTAATAGTAACAGTTGCATTAGATGCAACTGTTTAATACAATATACGTTATATTACACTTAGTTATTGAGTGGGATATTGACGTAATGTCATTATTAGTACATTGAAAATAAAAAAAAGTATTTTACTAATTTTACTTACACCTAAATTCATTTATTTAAATAGAATAAACAATTTTCCAATTTATTTTTCAATTTTTTCTTGATATAAAAAATATATATATTAACCTTTTGCACTCGGATCTCCCTTCAGAAGGGACATTGTAAATCTAGCAAAGATGTCTCCGACTCTCCGAGTGCAAAGGGTTAATATAAATAAATATATTATTAGAGTATGCATCGAATAAATATTTTTAGATATTTTTCTTCTCAATGTGCTTACTAGGTTATTAACTGAAATTACGAGTAGCTAAGAGAGTGATAGACACTTCTAAGTATCTTTTATCGTAAACATGTGCTAAACCATCATTTACTTCTGGCAGCGAATGTTTCTCACTGCAACGTCTAAGTTCAAAGGGCTAATGACAATTTATTAGCTCAATATCTTCCCTATTAGCTGTCCCTATTTCAAGGAAACTTGTCAGCTGCCACAGCTACATCTTGATTCTTTCTGCTAGTCTTTTTTTTTATATATATATATACGATAAAAATTTACGATCGTGACTAATGTGAGAAGATACATAGGTTAATCGTGGAAGATTCGTAAGAAAATGAAATCAGAGCCAACTATATCATCGACCATGTGATAGCGAAGTCGTGGACTTACCGTAAACTGTCAAGCCGACCGGCTCGCTCAGTCGTTTCGCCGCGATATTTTCAGCGACGCACGTGTAGTTGGCCTGATGGTTAAGTTTCGCTTGACCGACAAGAAGGTGACCCTCGCTGGACACTAGAAGTGTGTCCGACTCGGTGTCCACTTGGATGTTATTTCTCAGCCAGTAAACTCGCGGCGGTGGCACTCCCTCCGGAGGTAGACATCTCAGTTCGGTGCTTTGGCCCGCTTCGACGGACACAGAGTACGGCGGCGATTCGAATTGCTTCTTCAGATCTGGAAAAAACGAATTTCACGTCTGGATAAAAGCCGATTCGGTGGCAGTTCGAGCGAAACGACGATTCAAATCATGTCGTCGGAACACATCCCGATGTGTACATCTATTTTGTCACGCAGACTGATGTAGGTCAATTTTATAGCAACTTTAAGAGTCGGTCGTTCCAATTTCTTGATAAGTTAATTGATAGTTAAAATCATATGTCTGTCTTTGTCTGAGTTGAAGCAAAAACAAAAACAGACATATGACTTAACTATCATTTAACTTACCAAGAAATTGGAGCAACCGGCCCTAAGTACATTAAATCACGAAATTCGGCATCGTTGAGACCTTTACAACTGCATCAGATTGCACTCATATTTATACACACATAGAATTGGGAAATAAAAATATGAAAGAAATGTTCAAAATATGTCCCAAACGATGTATTATATTAAATGTGACGTAAAAATCTGAGTGTAACTTTTAATAAATTTGTTAATACATAAACACTACAAAAACTTACATTGTTGTACAATGCAAATTTAATCCATTAACGCCCAAATGTGCTGAAATTTTACGTTGATTTGAGCCATTTATTTTACTACGGAAATGAGGTCTGTTGGTTATATAGAGTACCATTCCTACTAATTTTGATGTCACTCTATCGAATAGCGTTGAGAAAATGAAAAAAAGTCGCAATTTATTTAAAATTTTTGCAAAATAAAATTAAAAACGCTTGTTTTTAGAGCTAATTTTTTCTTCCGTTATTTTTTCCATAAAAACGTGTTAGTATCGCTCGAGAAAGTGTCTAAAACATGTTCTCGACACTTTAATTTAAAGAATATGCCATGGATATTTTTTTCAACAAACATGGCGGTAACAAAATGGCGATCGATTTGAAACGTTTAATTCGAATTTTTGTTTATATTTGGCTATCGAAATTGTTTTACTATGTAATTACTATGTAATTTTTTATATTGATCATAAAACTAACTAAAATTTCGATAACCAAATATAAACGAAAATTCGAATTAAATGCTTCAAATCGAATTTTGTTAAGTTAAACTGTCGGGAATACGTTTTAGACACTTTCTCGATACTAACACATTTTTATGAAGAAAAAAGCGGAAGAAGAAAAATTTAACCCTAAAAACATGGGTTTCATCTTATTTTGCAAAAATTTTAAATAAGTTGACATTTTTTTTTAATTTTCGCTATTCGATAGAGCGACATCGAAATTGGTAAGAATGGTACTCTTAATAAACAACAGATTTCATTTCCGTAGTAAAATAAATGGCTCAAATCAACGTAAAATTTCAGCACATTTGGGCGTTAATGGGTTAATAATTCAATACATTTCCTTTATAAATGTAATTAAAAGAACTGTAAAATTGCCATGATTGATTGTCACGATCTCATGTCGTGATAATCGTGAAAGTCTATTTGTGCATCAGCACGCTCTCCATTTTATATCCAGGTAGACTGGTGTACGTAAATTTGGCAGCAACTTTACTAGCCAATTTGTAAAGATTGCGTCCCTTGTGAGTACACTCGTATATCACTCATATTCATCACATAGAATGACGAAAGCGGAATACGAAAGAAATGCGGAAGGAACGGTCAAGATTTAATTCAAGTAACATGTAATGTAAGATGTAATGTGAAAATCTAAGCGATCTGATCTTAGTAAGTCCGTTGCTGCATCAATAGAACAAAAAAGTCACATAAGTATGTGATGTAAACTTAATGATATATTCAATATATTTGCCTCATAAATGAAATTAAGAAACTGTAGAACTGTAGACGTGTCTCACGTCATGATAATCACGGGAATCTACCTGGGTAGCATAAAAAAATACTCCGTTTGACATTTGAAACTTGTCGAATTTTGTTTTGCTCTTCAATCTCCTTTTCGCGACACGTCTTTCCATTTGCTTAAGCATATTTTTACGTCTGGCGTTCGAGTTATGTAACTTCGGAATTGTCCCCCTCCGCACCCTGTAGGGTAGTCTCTTTAAATTGATTCTCTTGGAAACTCGACGCTCATCGCATTGTCGTCAATTAAGAGACGGAATTAAATAACGACTCGGCTGGCAGGAGAATCAAGATAATTACGAGGGGACGAAGACAAAGTGAGACGAAAAGTCGCCTGTTCTCGGAATCCAGCGCGACGTTTATTTCAAACCTCTCTGATTCACGTACCGTAACTGCTCCGGGAAAAAGAGAACCGTCTGGCGCGAAAATAAAAGGTTAACCCACTTTTCCACAATTACGTTGTAGTCGCAATTTCTCATCAGTTCTCTTCACGAGTGAAATTTCAAAAAGCTAGAGGCCCTTGAAGAGGAAAGAGAGGAATTATCGCGGATATTCGAATGGGTACTCACAAGCGACGTCGATGATCGCCGGCTGACTCTTGATCTGCCCCGATCCGGACCAGGCGATGCACTCGCACTTGTACTCCTTGTCGAAGTACTCTTCGACGAGGTCTCTCGTGACGTTGAACTCGCAATCGACGATCCGCGTGCCCGTGTGCGGATCCACGAAGTCCTGCTGCTGCGAGTCCTCCTTCCTCTCGTTGTTACAACGGAAGTAAATCTGCAGTGCGTGGGCGGCCTTGCAGCGCAGAGTGGCGGGCTTGTTCTTCACGACGAAGGAGTTGACAGGCTCCGTGAGGAAGACCGGCAAGTAACCGCCACCCTCGGAAATCAGCTCAGTGTCGCTGGCTATCGTTGCCGAAGGCACGTCGTCCTCCTCCAGGTACGAGTCCTCTTCCTCCGCGGCGTCTTCGCCTTCTGACACAAAAAGATAGTGCGATTTGTCAACAACTGCGTCGAATCGCGACATAGAAGTGTACCATCATCCATTGCAAATTTCATTACAAATTATTCGTGGATGAATATCATTATACAGGGTGTCTGGCAATTAATGGCATATCCGTTGTGTGCAGGTAGAACCCATCGAGCAAAAAATTTATCTACCATGTCGTAAAATTGTGAGTTATTAATTAATGATAATTATTTTCAACGAAAAATATTTTCTTTAGATAGCAATCTTCGAAATATATTCATCACAAGTTAATCGAAAATTAATGAAGATTGACGAATGATTACGGTATGGTGAGTGAGTTGTGATCTGCCGTCGTGTACTTGTAAGTTAGGTCAAGCTGAACAAAAAGTCATCTCTCTCTCTCTTTCTCTTTCTCTCTCTCTCTCTCTCTCTCTCTACCATTTTACAAATGACCATATAGATTTTTAGTTAAATTAATTAAAGATGATTGATATATTGTCGCAATTGTGCATCAATCTTCAATTAATAACTAAAGATCTACGTGGTTATTTGTAAAATGGGACAAAAGACTTTTTTATTCAGTTTGATCTAATTTACAAGTACGCCACAGCGGATGTCGCTATCACAGTTTATTTGCCGTGTCACGTATGATCATTTGTCAATCTTCTTTGACCTTTTATTTGACAATGTCGCTCTCAGGCAACATCGATTTCTCACGAGCTGTATGCAAGAATGATAGATGCAGGACGCATTTATTTAGTACTGTTGCTTTGGGGCAACATTTGGTTACCTGTTCGTTATGGTCTCAGTAGCTTCGATTTTTGCTATTAGATGACAAAAATTGTTGAAAATTGTTTTCAAAGCGATATTTTAAAAACAATATAACTGCATTTAGAAGACATACTTCACTAAAACTCTTAAAAATCTTTTCCTTTCAATTTTTTTGAATTTGCCAAACAAAGGATTAATTAGCAACTCAAAATTTTACGTGATTGCGAAATGAGCAAGATTCCTTTATATAGGAAAATTTTGTATTCTGTTTTATAAGTTATGCCTGATCACGGGTGTGTCATTAATTGTAAAACACCTTGTATATATCCCCATATTGTTACTTTTAATTTTTTTGTTAAAACAACAAAGAAATAATTGGCGGCGAAAATAACTATATGATTTTAATGACATTTTTTCCAACCATTTTTTCACGGGAAAAGTATAATAAAAATATCTTTTTACAATATTTTTTATAAAGTTGGACTATACAGAAATTGTAGCTTAAATTACTATAGCAATAGTAAATTTGACGATCTACATAATACACGATATAAAAAAGATTCAAGTAAGTGCAATAATTTTATAGTAAAAAGTCAAACGAACGTAACATTTTGAAACAAATCTATAATAATTCCGCTCATAATCCTACATGGTCTAACGTTTAAAAGATTCTTGTTGCAATTTTTGCTACAGTATTTCCCTCGTGCGGCCCGATGTAGGAATTTATAGCAACTCGTGATCGATGCGAACGATTCCACGAGTATTTCTCGCAGTGAAAAAGCCCAAGGATGAGCGTGACATAAACGGGCACATGTTTCAAATTATGTAAACGGGGCTGAATTTCGAGCGGTGCATGCAGGCCAAGTGCGCTCGCTCGTTGATGTTTTGCGCGCGGGGAACTCGCGCGTGAAACAGCGATTGGGCGATTGGGCGCAACGGATAACGTCGGGCTCATCGTAATATCGCGCTGTAAATCGCATCGATCGCGCACCGTCGTCATTACCGCGCGGAGGCATCACGTGCGCCGGCGGCGTAATCAGCGAGAAACTGCAGACGCGGAGGGAGCCAGTAGTCGTCGGTGGCGGCACGTCGGTCCGCCGCGTCCGCACTCCAAATGTACGGCCCGTAACTCACGATCCAGTTATTAATTCGACGACGATCGTTATTCGCGCGCGCGCTATCGGAGTCGCGCAAATTTTATATTCGCCCGTCAACAATGGGCCGTATTTCCCTTCCTCCCTCCCCTCCGCCGGTAAATCCTGACGCCCGGCCATTAATGCTGACGCTTCGCGGGCCGCGACTCCGCGCGCCGACTACGAACAATCGCGGCGCGCACTGCAGTAATGAATTTTCGGATTTACGCGGCGCACCGGTGCACAAGTCCGATGTATTTTCCGCCAACGAGTGGTTAGACCTTTATCCCCGTGCGACATTTGGCCGGGGGCCACAATTTCCATCGCGATAAACGCGCGCGCGCGCGCCACCGCGCCTGGTACGCCGCTCTCTTCCCGTCTCTCTCTCTCTCTCTCTCTCTCTCTCTCTCTTTTTTTCTTTATTGCTCCCTCATCCTCTTTCCCTCCTTCTCTTCTCCCCAGTCTCTATCGAGGAGATTTAAAAAAAAAAAACTGCAATGTGCCGGTAATAAACTGTCTGCGTTCTATTTTTTATGCAGTGCTCAATTTGTCAACATAAAATCCGATATCGAGCGCGATACGTTTACGCCGTTGCGATATAAATATCGGGATGGAGGAACCATACGGCTGTGTTAACGCCAGCGGCGCGAGAAACGAGATATCGTCCGTATCGAAGTCATTGAATTGCCACGGCGTCGATGCGGGGATAAGCGGCCGCGCGATGTATATCACGGGATCAATGCGACGAACGAGCTCGCGCTCGCTGTCTTACGATCGATTGTTTTTCTTTCTTCATCCCTTTTTTTTACGACAGAGCATGCAAAACGGATGGCACCGAATCGGCCCGCTCGCTGGCAAAACAAACACGCAGCGCGACGCGACGTTTGTCCTCGTTAATTTCAACGGATGCACCCGGAACACGTGTTCTTGAGTCGACGAAATCAGATCAGCGCATTAATATGCAGATGCCATTGGGAGGAAGAGAGAGATAGATAGATTTCCTATCCATATATTATCTAAGAGATATCAAAGAGATAGATGGACAGTTGTATAAAAATTTGACAGCAACTTGATCAATCGCTTTGTAAAGGTTGAGTGGTGCATGTGGCATTTATGTTTATTGCATACACAAAGAGAATTTTTATATAAAACTTACTAAAGAGAAATTACACACAAGAATTTGTTTGTGAAAAACAGATCAGAACGTATATTTTGTAGTATTTGTTATATTTCCACATGTACTATTTATATTTTAGAAACTGTATGTGTGAAATATGCTATTGAAAATTTTTTTGCTATGTTCCCAGCAAAGTTTACTATGCTTCTTAGCAAGATAGACATTTTTGACGGTATATTTATGCACTACTAGAAATATAAAAAAACTTGAAAACAATTTATATGAAAAAAAATTATATATATAATACATAGTATGTATATATTTTCTCCTCATACAGAGTGACAAAATAGAAACAGAAATGAAGTAAGAAAAGAATAATTGAAATTTACTCAAAATGATATGTCATGTAAAATGTAATATGAAAGTCTGAGTGCTGCTTTATACCCAGATGTTCACATTGAAATTCTGGATGCAGTAATTTTGTTGCTGTATCGATACAACAAGAAATTTACAGTGTTGTATGGTGTAAATTTTATGATTAATTCAGTGTGACCAATATAGTATGTTCGTTTCATCAATGTAATTGAAAGAATTGTAAAGTCTCTATCATTTAACGATGTAATAATCTTGAGAAAAAGTCTACGTATATAGATTTTTTTATTATCACCTTAAGACATTTCTTCTAAGAACGTTATATAGCATATTACAGTATATATTATAAAATAAATACATATGATAAGTATAATGTAATAAAGTAAGGAGAACAAATGAAAGCAAAATATATAATGATATAACAAAAGTTGCAAAAGACTAAGAAATAAGAAAGAAAGTGAGAAATCTTTTACAATTATTATACTAATAGAAAAGAAAAAAGCAACAATGAGCGAAAGAGAGAGGGGGGAGGGGGAAGAACAGAAAGAAAGGGAGAAAAGGGATTCACGACGGCGGTGATGTTACAATAGGATTGGGAATTGCCAAGGGCTGAATGGGACGCAACGGCGACGGCAACGGCGGCGGCGTCGGAGGCGGAATTCGGTAACGCAACGCACTCGTACGCGAGCGCGAGACGCAAGTAAAATAGGATTTTCATCGGTTTCCGATAATTCGAGCAGATCGGATGGCCGATAGGAACCATCGGAATCATTCTACCCGCTTTCGCCTGATGGCGAATTCATCCATACAAATTCTCGTTAGCCGTTTTGGATGCATGCGGCTAGTTCGTTAACCGTGCCGAGCGTGTGTGTACGGGTTCTCTGTTGCATTCGCCCGCAGTTTTGGCGCAGGATGAGATATCTCGTGCGTGCGTGTGCAGTAGAGGCGTCGTTGTCTCGACATATAAATATTCGGACGGAGCATTTTACGAGGGGTAGATCTAATTAGCGGCAAGGAGGAGTTATAGTATTTTGGGTAGTTCCGTCGTGGATTCTTTGGATGTATTCGGCTGTATATTGAGCCAAGGTGGGACTGTAATATTCGCAATGAACTGAAGCAGCATGTTTGGAAAAAGGATTTGCCAAGACAATATATTGTAAGATGTATACTGCATCCAAAGAAAATATAATCTCATCCTTGACGAAATTCTTTTATGTATGGTCGCAAGAGGATTCTTCTAAAATCCGAGAGGAAAATATTCTAATAGTCAGAAAAGAGAACTCTACTTGCAAAGCGCTATTTCTTATAGCCCCATATTTTAAGCCAAAATTTTTACCGGAAAAGTATTTCTTTTCCAATGAATAGTGAAGTATTAATCGAAAATCTACTAGATAGTATTCTAACTTTTTTTTCTTTTGAATCAAGGGAAATATGTTTATTTAAAGTAGAATGCTTACTGGAAGAAATTCGTATTAATTTGTCCAACTTGAACCCAACCATATTATTTTATTATTCCAACATGAAGATGGTAGTGGTAACATGCATATAAGATTATCATCACTAAAATTATAGTACAATTAACTAAAACATGGTTGACAAATAGTTCAAAGAT